CCCTCCAATGGTCTGAGGGACAGTGAACTGGCCCTCTGTTTAAAAAGTTAGAGGACCCCTGTCCTAGAGTGTAGGAGCCAGAGACAGGAGATGGTTCAGAGTATGGGCTCTGGATTGGTTGATGTGCATAAGCAAGTCATTTGCTATCTCTAACAATTTTTATTTGGCTGGCCCTGGAAAGGACAGTCTCTCCTTGGTCAGTGAGACCCCTAATGCCAGAGCATCCAGAATACAGAAAGTACAGAAATAATACAGAAAAAAATACAGAAATAATACAGTTAATAAACTCTCACCCCACCCTTTGCCAAGTTAACATTGCCTTCAGCTATCAGCTCCATGTAGCTTTTCAGAGAAGCCTTTACTAAGTTTTTACTATAGGTCAACTCACCCATGCGAGCATTCATAGCCCTACGGTAACCTAAGTTTCCATTTATTTGTAGTATGTTTTGATTAATGACACGCGTTTCTAATAGACTCTACACTCCACAAGGCCTAGAACTTGTCTGTTTTTCCTTGTCATTTTATTGCCAATGCTTGGTGTGGTCCTGGCACAGGATGTGACTGTGTAGGCCATTGTAAGGCTGAAGCCAAGCCAGGGTGTGGGATTGTCACCCTGCAGGGTAAGCAGGTCAGCAGGATCCAGGCCATGGAAGGCTATGCACTGATACTGAGTTTAGACTTTTAACCATCAGCAAATGGGAATCGAATAATGGGTTATAAACAGGTGATCCATATGACTGTTTTTTGGTAAAAATTGAGGATTGATAGTTTGATACTGGAGGCAGGACAAGGAGTGATGATTTTGCTTAAAGCTTACAAAGCCCGTCTGCCCCAGTAGGAGGAATGTCTACGGTGACTTCATCACCTCAGTGAGGGTGGTTTCTTTTTTCCCTCAACCTCCCACTTTATACGGTATAACTACTGAAGTGCTAAGTATGCACGCAAAGGGAATGAAAACCTTTGACATGTATAGAAAGTGCTGGAGATTTGGGAAATCATGTTTTTGAGCAGAAGAGAGGAGAATAAAAAGGTAAAGATAGGGAGCAGACTTGTGATTGATGTTTCTCTTGCACATGAACATGTGTCAGTTTGGTTCTTTTGCTGTTTATTTAGCCACTAACACTTGTCCATTTAAGCTTCTTAGTTCTCTACCAATGTGCAGCGCTGTTTTAGATTGGATTTGAGCATTATATAAAATTATACTCTTTGGAAATAAAAACATTTCAGGACTGTGGAAACAAGCATTAAATAATTACCTTCAAATGCAACAGCAGAAAAGAAGAACCATTTTTTTAAAAAAAAAATTGGATTGTTTATTTGGTGTTGAGTTGTATGAGTTCTTTATATATTTTGGATATTAGCCCCTTGTTGGAGCTGTTGTTTGCAAATATCATCTCCCATTTGGTTGGTTGTCTTTTGTTGTTGTTGTGGGTTTCCTTTGCTGTACAGAAGCTTTTAGTTTTATGTAGTCTCATTCATTTATTTTTATCTTTACTTCCTTTGCCTTTATGGTCAAATTCATAAAATATTCTCTAAGACCAAGGCCCATAATCTTGTTACCTGTGTTTTCTTCTATGTAACTTATTGTTTCAGATCTTATATTTTGGTCTTTGATCCATTTTGAATTAATTTCTGAACATGGGGACAAACTGTAGTCTAGTTTCATTTTTTTGCATGTGGCGTTCCAATTTTCCCAGCACCATTTATTAAGAGGCTTTCATTTCTCCATTGTGTATTTTTGGCTCTTGTGTCAAAAACTACTTGCTTATATACATGTGGTTTTATTTCTGAGTTCTCAGTTATGTTCCATTAGCCTGTGTGTCTGTTTTTCTGCCAATACCATGCTGTTTTGATTATTGTTGCTCTGTAGTATAATGTGAAGGCAGGCGGTGTGATACCTCCAGCTTCATTCTTTTTTCTCAGGATTGCTTTGGCTATTGGGGTCTTTTGTGGTTCTATTCACATCTGATGATTTTTGTTTTATTCTTTTTAAGTGACATTGAGATTTTGATGGGGATTATATTAAATCTGTATATTGCTTGGGTAATATGGCCATTTTAATGGTGTTAATTCTTCCAATCCATGAACACAACATATCTTTCAATTTTATCATGTCTTTTTCAGTCTCTTTTAATAATGCTTTATAATTTTCAGTATATATGATCTTCACATCCTTTGTTAACTTTATTCCTAGGTATTTTATTCTTTTGGTTGCAATTGCAAAAAGAATTGCTTTTTGCTTTGTTTTGTTTTTTCATTTCTTTTTCTGAAGTTTCCTTGTTAGTTTATAGGAAAGTAGATTTTTGTACATTGATTTTGGATCCTTCAACTTTACTGTACTTGCTTATTGTTTCTAATAGTATTTTTGTGGAGTTTTTAGGCTTTTCTATATAAAGAACCCTGTCATCTGCAAAAAGTGACACTTTTACTCCTTCCTTCCCAACTTGGATGCCTTTTATTTCTTTCTCTTGACTGACTGCGCTGGCTAGGACTTCCAGAATTATGTTGAATAAGAGTGGTGAGACTGGGCCTCCTTGTTTTCTTCCTAATTTTAGAGGAAGAGCTTTCAATTTTTTTAATCGATTTTTATATCCCCAATTAAGTTAAATTCGTTCTCTGGCTCTCCAGAGTTTTGAATTGGCCTGCTTTTAAGTGCAGGCATCTAATGGGAAGAAACCCAGCTTCTCTATATAAAGATGCTTAAGAAAGGATATTTGGTTGCTAATACACACTCCCGTCTCAAACTCTCGGTTGCATGCACCCTTTTTGTGGAACCAGTGGGAAAACCCTGTTCCTGAGCTGTGAGTGTTCTCTGCTCTTACTTTGCAAAGGTTGGCTGTTTCTGCTCTCTCTCCGTGTGGTGCTGCCAGGCGCTGCCTCAGGACCTTGAGCCGTGTCTTGGCTATGCGCCTGGGGACCTCAAGGGCACTGACACCAAACCCACCCACCACCCATTACATTCCAGAGTAATCTACAGGGACGCTGAAATCATATGCGGGGTCCTGCAGCAGTTAAACTTGCTTCATAGATACACTGACCAGAAATAACTTCTTCATCCAGAGAAGATGGTACTCAAGTTTGCTACAGAAGCTCTGTATACAGGGTTGTGCCTACTTTCCCCTCAGAATAGAATTCACCAATCCTAAAAAATACGATTCGGAGAATGAGCTCAAACATTACTTGAAAGAAATGGTGCTGAAGTAAAAATCGTCAGTATTCCTTTGATAAAATCTGCTGAACGAGAAGCCAGGATGTTTTTATTGAATAGCTGGGAGCAGGCAGTTGGGTATTTGAGATGCAGTGGATTTTGGTGGCCATCTGAGCTAACCTTTATTGTAAAGAAGCATGTCTTCCTTTTCAGTTGTGTTGACAAACAGCTATTAAGCACTGGTCTCTTATGGCTGATTCCTGACATCGAGCTTGACTCCTATTAGGAATATAATTATAGTGTCATCTCCCACCAAAAGATACAGAATCTAAAGTAAAAAAAAAAAATTAGGTAGTTGCGGTGATGATGCAGCTGTTACTTGGAGAGTTGTTTTTACAGTATCTTTATTGTGCATTTTATCATTTAGAGCAGCATTGTCTAATAGAAGAGTGATGGGAGCCACATATGTAATTTTAAATTTTCTAGCATCTGAGTTAAAAAATGTAAAAAGAAACAGGTGAAATTAATTATGATTACATCTTTAACTCACCATATCCAGAGTAATATTATTTCAACTTATAATTAACATAAAGATTATTAATGAGATATTTTATATTCTATTTTTCTTACTTCCTGCATTCGGTTTATGTTTAACACAGCATATCTCAAATCAGAGTAGCCACATTTCAAATGCTCAGTAGCCACATGTGGCCAGTGGCTACCATGTTGGGCAGCACTGATTTAGAACATATTCCTTCAAATATTAAAGAAACAAATACATTAAAATAGAATAAAATATTTTAGAAAGAGTTCTTAATACTTTTAGACAACTGGAAAAGGGGAAAAGTATGTTGAAAATTACTTAAATAGGTCAGTGGAGTAAAATAGCTCTCTGATGTATTAATAGTCTGCATTTCTTAACTTATCGGAAAATACTGATCACATGTTAATAATCACAAGTTAAACATTAGGGCAAACTAGGACACAGTTTGCCTTGTACTGGGTAAGTTTTCTATCAACAAGCCTGGGTGCCCACTCTGATTCCTGCGGTTACAAGACAAAGCTTCCCATGGAGCCAGGCTCTCTGGAGCATGATCTGAGAGGCCTGGTTATGAGTTTGAGAACTTACAAGGACAAGTAAAATCCCCCCAAAATGAAGCATTGCTACAGAAACTCTTTGAAAAGGAGGGAACAATTACCACTGGTTATCTGCGGCTAATAAAAAACAAAGAACTATTATAAATCATCCATCTTAGGTGGATTCAATATAGAATTATTTATAGTGGGAATCTTTTCTGAGAGAGTTCTTAATTTTCTAAGACCTTACATTAAGTCAGGGTGGATTGTTTTTACTCAAAGATGTAATTTGAAGTTTTGGAAAAAGAGAAGAGTTCATCTATTTTCATATAGTTTGTGTCATCTACTCACAACTCTCATTTTACCTGCCCTCACATCATCTTTAGTGGAAAAACTTATCACCTGAGAACTGTAAAATATGGTAAGGGTAGGAAAATTGTCTTCATTGGTAAATGTTTCTAAAATGTTGGAAAGTATCTTAGTGAAACCAGAAACCCCTTTCAATCCCTTTGTTAAGTTGTCTTTAAATATATAGATTTTAAGAGGGGCAAATTGAGGAGAAAAGGTGAATTCTAAAATAGCAGTTCTCTGCTCAGAGCCTTATAATTGAGGTTTGGGGTGCTTGTTTTTTTTGTGTGTGTTTTTTTAAATTCTCAATGGAGTGCAGTCCCATTTGTCCCACTCCTATCCTGCAGACCTCAATCTGAATTTCTTGCCTGCTCTTTCTTGGATTGATTTCTAAGATATTTCCCCCCCCTTTTTTTTTGGCACCCAGGAATTAAATATCTTTAATTACTTGGATCTGTACAGACTTGCTGACCTCTTTAACCTCACTTTGTTGGAGAAGGCAGTGATCGATTTCTTAGTGAAGCATCTCTCTGAACTCCTGAAGAGCCGCCCGGAAGACGTTCTAACGCTTCCTTATTGTCTGCTTCAGGAGGTCCTGAAGAGCGACCGCCTGACCTCCCTGAGTGAAGAGCAGATCTGGCAGGTAAGGGTGGTCTGCATGGGGCTCTTTGGGTGTGGAGAGGGCACAAAATGATTGAAAGTTAAAGGATTGTCCTGGCCAGTGTGCTCAATGGTTAGAGCATTGGCCCACGGACCTAAGGGTCGTGGGTTCGATTCCCAGTCAAGGGCATGCGCCTGGGTTGCAGGTTTGATCCCTGGCCCCACTCGTGGCTCATGTGGGAGCTCCCAATCGATGTGTCTCTCTCACTTTGATGTTCCTCTCTCTTTCTCTCTCTCTCTACCTCTCCTTCTCTCCCTCACCGTTTCCCTCCTCCCTTCAACTCTAAAAATCAATGGAAAAAATATCCTTGGGTGAGGATTAACAACAACAACAAAAAAAGTTAAAGGATTGAGGGACAATAAGAAATATTTTGTTTGGTTTGGTCCTCATTGGACTCGAAGGCTCAGAAGTCACGCTCCTTGATGAACAAGGAACTGAAGAACCAGCCCGTGAAGCTTGGAGGCCTTAGCCAGCTCAGCTTCACTCGGAGGTTCGCAGGGGAGATTCCTCGGGACCTCCCTGTGACTTCCCAAATCCCCAAGTCAAAGGCTTGTGTGTTTTTTCTCCTGATAAAAGATATTTTCTGAAATTGCATAAGAGAAGAATGGATTGTCAAGTGGTACTTATGCAGTTTCAAGACCAATGGAATCAGAATAAGCCTGGGCTTGCCTATAAACAATTCGGAAACATTTCTTTGTTGCATCAGAGAGCAACTGAGACCTTAAGTGAAATGAAGCTCTTCTTGCACTGTAGTGGAAAAATCTCCGTCCTCAGTTCAGGCTTCATTCATTGCTGGTTTCCTGAGCCCTGCCTTTCCGCCTGACATGGCATTCTTTTTGAATATCCTTTTTCTCGGAGACAGGAGGATGTGTTGTGTTTTCAAGTTGATTATTCAATTTAAATCCTTCTCTGCTCATCCCCAGTGGCGATCCTTGAACAATCCGCTTGGTGTCTGGGAAACAGTCAGAGCCCTTCTTCCCCCTGCCTCTAAAGACTGTCTGTCTCACTCTCTGAAACGCGGGCTAGCCATCTTGTTACTTGTAGGGCAGCATACCTTCCAAATGTCATGATCATATGAAAAATATTTATATACAGACTATTCTGGGGAAAATATGAGGTCTTCCATAAGCTGATAAGGCAGTGAATTACCAAATAGCATTCAGAGAGCCAATAGCCAAAGCAGAGTGAGAGGTGGCTGTTAATTAAATCCAGTATCTGACTCTGCAGATTAATACTTTTTCTGATGTCTTTCTCCTTATTTCTTCCTTTGCGTTACTTTAATCAGCAACTTCTTTCTTCATTGTTGCGTCCATCAGTGATGGTAATAAGAGCTGTGGTGTACTGAGGGCCTTCCAGACCTGGGTTCTTTTCAAACTTTTGACTTATCATCACAACAGGCCTGAAGGATGGCTGTTATCACCCCATCTAACAGATGAGCAAAATGAGGCTTTGGTGCCTTGCTCAGGGTTACAGAGCAGAGTAAGCCTTCAAGTCCAAGTCTGCTGACCCCTGCCCTCATTTATGCAGTGTTCCACACTGCCTTGAAAAACAAAATATCAGGACACAAGAATAAGGTCTAGATTTTTTTTCTGCTTCTCATAATTCTCATAATGTTTGTTCAGGCAGAGGTCAAAAGTGTTTGGGGAAGATGAGTTTTAGGTATAAATTTTAATTATCTGTTGTTCTCCCTGGTAACACAAATCATCAGAATTTTGGGGGCAATTCAAAGTGGGAAATTGCTACAATTTTTTCTTTCCTTTCCCAAAGGGAAAAAGAAAGACTTGGAATGAATTCTGCATTTAATTATTTCTAACTGAATTGAGATCTGAGCCAACCATCCTTGTGGCTTCTGCCTCTTGTGGTGGCATGGTTGAAGGCACTGCCAGAGATAGACATGGCAATATGCACAAGTCTAGTCTGAGTGTCCAAAAATTCCATACTGTCCACTTATGAGTTACCACAATTGCCTCTCTAAAGGTTACTAATATTATAATGTCAAATTTTAAAAACGGCTTTTGGCTGCAGGCAACATTTTTTTTATACCTGGTCCTCAAGGAAGAATTAAAAGACTCACATAAATATGGTCAATTTAGGCATTCAGCAGGCAATAAGAAACTGTTTTTGCTTTATCTTAGTATATAAGTAATTCCCTCATACTCAACCCAATAGAGAAAAATCAAATCAGACCAGCTATATTGCCTCAAGTATAGTTAAGTTCATCATTTTTTGCTGAGGTTATACTGGTAATGCAATATACCATGGAAGAATCTAATATTCAGCCCAGGGTGAAGATTGGGTATGCCAGAGGATTAGTGTCAGGGTGCTTTATAGAAGTGAAACTTGATGGACAGGCTGGAGACAGATCTACAGAATCTCATTAAATTGCTGAATTGTTCATTACGGAGTGTTCTCACTGTAATAAAGTGCTCATTGACTTTGACAAATCCCCATCCCATGTCTTAAAGAAGAACTGTGAGGCAACGGTGTTGGGGAGGAGAAAAGAAATTGGCACAAAGTCAGACAGGTAATATAAAAGTGGATGGAGGGTAGTGCACTTTGATTAATGTGTGCAACTGATAACTTATGGGAGAGCCCGGTAAACACCCCCCCCACACACACACACACGTTTATACATGTGGCTCTTCCACAATCTACTGACAATATGATCTGAGACATTCCCTTTATTTTGGTGAAAGGTCTAAATTTCATTCACTAGACTATAAGCAGTCTGTCTCTGAAGACGTGTCATAAGGACCTTCAATTTATCCTCACTGAACAAACTCTTTTTCATTTTTTTCTGCTGTCCCTTATTCAGTCCCTTTCCTGATAAAATGTGCTGCAGGCCATAATAGCCATTCTGTGGATCTGGAAACCTGTGAAATCCCCCAAGATTATGTCTTATATCTGTTCTTTTATTTCCATCTGACCTTTTCAAACTTTATCTTAAGTCTCTTCTCTCACAGAAGGTTTCTTCATCTCCCATAGACAGTTTTTTTCCTCCCTTCCATCACCTGCAACTATTTGTCCTGTTAGTTAACTTCACTTTGTATTCACAGGTAATGTAGACACTGCACCCTATACACAGGTATATGGTGTATAAGGACACAGAAGTCCCCTCAAAAAAATTCTGTATAAAAACTCAGTTCAGTTCAGCTTAACAATTTGGTTTTACAGTTTCAAGGCCAGCAATTTCTCAGGTTCCAGATGGAAGACACAATTGATTATGGGGCTCAAGAAAGGGTAGAAAGTCCCCAGTGGGGACTGACCTGTGCCACATTCATGACCTGGCGAGTCTCCACCATTTTTATTTTGCTTTGGGGTTTAGACCTAACTTAGGGCTTTGTTTCAGTAGCACCCTGTTACATTTCTTCATATAGATTCAACGTATAGCTTCAGACTATTGAGCCAGGATCCTGCTATACAGTTTGGAGTGGAATAGTGAAACGATCCCCTAACACTCCCACACATCGGGTCTGTTTCTATTAGCATAGGAAGCCCTGGCTAATCTTGGTTTTCTTCTGAGGAAAGTGGGATCTCTGCCTTTCCTATCTCAGATCCTCTCTCAGCAGAATGAGGGGGAGATTGCTTTCCGTGGGAGGACAGTTTATAGAAAAGCCTGAGTACAGTGTAAGTGCTTGTGTTTGCTAGCACAGGACAAAGACATGGCTCTATCCATCAGGACATTTTGAGCCGCTACCAAATGGCCCAAACCATACTGCAGTAGAAGGCACGGTACAGGTTTGCTAACTCCATTTCCCTCTCTCAGGCCTCACCCAATCTGGGAGGGATCCTTCTGATTTCAAATCATTGGTTCAGCTCCCTGGATTATTATTTTTTTCTCTGAAGTAGCAAAAACAAGAACCATCTTTTTAAATGGATAACGATATTGTGTGGAAATAAAAATGAGTATTTCATGAGTGTCTATTATGTGCTATGCACAGTATTAGAAGCCAGATCCTGGATAAAAAGCTTTATAAAGATGTTTAATTATTGACTTAGAGAGATTTGGTTTCCTCTCTGAATGTAGAGAAGTTGTAGTTTCCTTTAATTATGAATTTATTAACTGTTTTTCTACTCTTAGTGAAAAGGACTTATTATTTATCAGAACAGTCCATGTATCAATGTTTTTCTTCCTTTTTAATCTTGCATTGAGGGTACCTCCTTGTATTTTGAGCCTAACTTTGCCTGGATTTAATGGACCAAACATTTCAGTGGTCACATCACTGACATCAAACATGATCAGACCTTAGCAGGGAGAGTCGCTTTATCTTAGTCATATCCCATTTTAGTACGGCAAGGCAAGAGGACCAAGTCACCTGGTTTGGGATTGGGGCTGATCCTGTGTACATTGGTCTTTGAGTCTGCATCCCCAGAGGCAGAGGCTGTGCCTATTGTATTTGCATTGAATGCTGCCATGTTTTACCCTTGCACTCTATAAATAATAAATAAAGACAATAATGTAGAGTTTTCACATTAAAATATATTGAATGGCTAATAAGACAGCCCATTATTCCTACAAAAGGTTGGATTTATTCTAGGAACATTGGTATACAAAACGATTTGGGCCTTTTAAAACTGCATCTTTTCTTGTATTTTTGTTGGAAATTTGTGTCCATAAGTCATATTGTTAATAACGCATTTATTGTGTATCTGTAGAGATGTAAGTCATATGTTGTGTAGAGAAGTTAACAATCACAAAAGTAGTGTTTTTCTATGAGTCCTTCTTGGGCTTTCATCTATACCACAGGATGACTCATATCACAGCTTGTTTTAATCATGGTCCTCAGAAAAAGCTCCAGAAGGTAACCCTAAACAAAAAGCTACTATTTCACAACAGATGGGAAATAGAGGACACTAGTATTGTACTCAGTTTTCGTATTTTATTCTTAGATGATGAATTGACCCAAATACACCTCTGGCAAGAGAGAAGTCAGGACTTCAAACAGTACTATATGTCCAACAATACCATCATATTAAATATA